CCCCCCCCCCTCTTTTTGCTGAGCGTACCGCCCCGCACGCTCAAGCTCACATAGAAATCCGGCCATATTATGAGAACCCTAGGTTCTACGGCTTGGGTGTCTGAGGGATCACCAAGTCACGAGAGTTGCCCAATTGCAAATAAGGGTCCCAGTAACCACTGACAAAAAACACCCAAGAAACTTGTGAAAGGAATTGACCACGCACCCTTTACGACACGAGGCGGGGCACCGCTTTTTCTACTCCTCGGGAGGGGGGGGGTCACGGCAAACGACAAAAATGTCAGCGAGATACTACAATACAGCGCTTTCATTACCGAGGGCAATCAATGATCTCGCGGAACCCTCTCTCTCGGGATCGAACACACCAAGCAAACTTATTGCGCACAACGCGCGCGACCGAACTACACAACCACTGCCACCACCACCATCACCATCAGCATCAGCGTCAAATATATACCGGCGAGTTACCGAACCACCACCACCACCACCACAAGCAGCAGCAGCAGCAGCAACCGAGTCAAAAGATAGGCAGGGACCCCCCCAACACGGGCATCAACATCGACTGAAATAGCGAACTCAGTAGTGCGCAGGCGGGGGGGACTGCTGCGCAAAAAAAAAAAAAGCTCATTACGAAAAAATACCCAACAGGGGGGGCACGCAAACCCTAACCCCAACATAGCCGATCTTAAACTTTACCGTGATCAAGTATGTTTTCTCAGTTAGAAAAACCTGCGCAGACTTTGGTGGGGCAGCTGGCTTATGACCATGTTGGACTGTTGTAGTATAGTACGGGCATTAGCAGGTACTGAGCGGAGACCGGAACGGTTGTTAATGTGAAGACAACAACAACAATAACAATAACAACAACAACAACAACAACAAGACTACTGAGGCGGGGTGCCTGGGCCGAAGACGGCCCGCAAGACCTCTTCCTCCACCGCGACCATGGCCTTGTAGTCCGACTCCGTCTCGTGGTCGTAGCCAAGCAGGTGGATCAAGCCGTGCACCAGGAGCATGGACGCTCGCTCCTATTGTTATTGTTTTTCCGGGAGGAGAAGAAGAAATATCGGGGGCGGGGGGGGGGGGGGGGGG